GTTCCCAAGTATTTTATTTTTTGGTGATGCTATTGTAAATGGGGTAGTTTTCCTTATTTCTGTTTCAGAGGATTTGTCACTAATATACAGAAATGCCTTTGATTTATGGGTGTTAATTTTATATCCTGCTACTTTGCTGAATTCATTTATTAGTTCTAGGAGTTTTCTGGTGCAATTTTTTGGGTCTTCTAGGTATAGAATCCTATCATCGGCAAATAGTGCTATTTTGCTATCCTATGTTAAAATAGTGCTATTTTAATATCCTATCTGTATTGCTCTGTCCAGTACTTCAAGAACTATGTTAAATAGAAGTGGTGAAAGAAGGCATCTGTGTCTTGTTCCACTTTTTAGAGGAAATGCTTTCAGGTTCAAATCATCATGTCAAATTAGGCCCTGACTTTCTTAATAAGACTTAGAGAATTAAAATCAAAAATCAATAAATGGAATGGACTCAAACTAAAAAGCTTCTTCTCAGCATAAAAACAACCAGTGAGGTAAATAGAGAACCTACTAATTGAGAACAAATTTTTACCACATGCATATCAGATAGAGCACTAATTGCAAGGTTACATAAAGAACTCAAAAATTTTAACACCAAAAAAACAAATAACCCAATCAATAAATGGGCCAAGACACTTCTCAAAAGATGATATTCAATCAATCAACAAATATATGAAAAAAATGTTTAATGTCCCTAGCAATTAGAGAAATGCAAATTAAAACTACTCTAAGATTTCATCTCACTCCAGTCAGAACGGCAGCTATTAAGAATACAAACAATAAGTGTTGGTAAAGATGGGGGGAAAGGCATACTCATATACTGCTGGTGGGACTGCAAATTGGTGCAGCCAATATGGAAAGTACTATGGAGATTCCTTGGAAAACGGGAATGGAACCACCATTTGACCCAGCTATCCCACTCCTTGGTCTATATCTAAAGGACTTAAAAACAGCATACTACAGGAACACAGCCACATCAATGTTTACAGCAGCACAATTCACAATATCTTAACTGTGGATCCAACCTAGATGCCCTTCAGTTGATGAATGGATAATGAAAATGTGGTATATATACAAAATAGAATACTATTCTGCATTAAAAGAGAATAAAATTATGGCATTTGCAGGTAAATGGATGGCACTGGAGAAGATAATGCTAAGTGAAGTTAGCCAATCCCCAAAAAAGTAAATACCAAATGTTTTCTCTGATATAAGGATGTGAATTCATAATGGGTTTGGGGGGTGGAGCATAGGGGGATTAGACGAACTCTAGATAGAGCAAAGGGGAGGGAGGGAGAGGGAGAGGTCATGGGGGTAGGAAACATAGTAGAATGAGATAGATATCATTACCCTAAGTACACGTATGAAGGCACAAATGGGGTGAATATACTTTGTGTACAACCAGAGATATGAAAAGTTGTGCTCTGTATGTTTAATATGAATTGTGATGCATTCTCCTCTCATGTATAACAAATTATTATTTAAAAATAACTAGAAAAAAGAAGAAAATTTAAAACTCTATTCATGTAAAACTCTCATTACCTTTAACACATTGTCAATTTAATAAGAAAATAGCTGCTATTTTTTCTTAAACAGTACAAGGCCATTTGATGACGCAAAACACTGAACACATTGATGGAGCAAAGTACCCATGAGTCAATCCCTGTTTTGATCACTGGCCTCCAGTGAGGTTTATAGTCACAGCAATGCTTGAGGACATTGCCTGTACTTCAATAATGAACTTCCCTATCCTCTCTGTCCCTTCAGTAGGTCAAGTTGGGCAGTGGAAGCCTCTGGTGGAAGCCACAGGGATGAGAATGTAAAAGTTCCCCCTGGGACTAGATCCCTCTGGCTTACCTCTGAGGGGTGAGAAGAAAAAAGGAGGTAATTTGCTTTTTACAGACTCAACACTCCTTAAAGATCTTACCTTACCTGATGAAGAGTCAGACTGATGACTCTCTCTGAGCTCACCTTCAATTTGCCCCGAAATAAATAGGAAAATAATGCCTCTTTTTGCTCCTAAATAACTCAAGCTAAAGAAATAAATGATAAAGATATTCTAGAAAAGCACAGGTTTGAGAGGTAAAGAAATAGGAAGAGATAGATAAGGATTTAAATGTGTGCTGAGTCTTTTCTCACCCATCCATTCTGGCTCTTCATCCCATAGTAACCAGAAACACATAATGTACTTCTGCTTTATTAAGCCATTTTAGACCTTTGGTATTAATCCCTCTCTCAAGGCTTCAGGGCCCTCTTGGATGACCAAAATAATCTGAGAAGAAAATTCACTTAAGGAACTGATTTATGACTGAGAGGAGTTTAAACAACACTGAAGAAATCAGCCTCAGAAATTAACCAGTCCAAATTAAGGAAAGAGAGAGGGAGTTCTGCAGGGGCAACTTCAGATGATATAGGTCCACTGGTCCACTCTGTGGAGATCTACTTTTCAAGCCATAAGGGATACTGAGTCTGACCAAGGTTACTATTGGGATTTTTATATCTGCGAGGACAAAAGGTAGAGTCCAATATATTATCTCACTTCAAACAGATTTGGAGGAGGTACAGATGGGGAAAACATAAGATAGCAAAAGGAAAAATAAATTACTTCTTGCCCCTTAAATGAAGCCACAAGACATCAGAGTCAAGTGATGTTACAGGGCTGTAAGACACTGTTCTGGAGTTAAAGGCCTTATGAACAGAGAAACATCTCTTTCCACATTTGTGCAATTATCCTCCATTCCATCCTGCCTAAGAAATGGAGAACTGTATTTAAAAAAAAAAAATCACTGTCCCTGAAAATGTTTATTCCATCCATCGTCATGATATTTCCAGAGGCCCCACAACTACCCCTACTAGACTAGCTGGCATCAAAGGTTGCACTGGAGCTCTTCAGTCTGAGGAGCACAAAATAACACCAGCAAGAGAAGAAAGGTAAAGGGGTAACAAAAGGTCAGGCATAAGGACTCCAAGTCTGGTTTGGCTGGGGAAATAGCTTAGTGATAGCATGCTTGCCTAGCAGTCCCAGCTCTGAGGGGAAAAATCCAAGGCTGGGAAGGAAAAAAAAAAAAAAGGAGAGAATTGGGAAAGGGAGGAAAAGAAGAAGGAAAAGGGACAAGATAATTTTTTAAAGCTATGAATTCCTTTCTCCAATTAAAAGTCACTATCTCAGTGTAAAATGGCACACATTATTCTTGACCACAGGCTCAATCGTAGCATACAGACCACATTATAGCCAAGCTCCTCCACTGTTTTCAGAAGTCACAAACCAGTTTCAGTGTCACTTCTGTATAGTAACTCGTTTCATAACCACACAGCTATCACAAAGTCATCTAGGACTACAATTTGAAACAGAAACACAATACTACACAGCCTTACAATCCAAGTCCATAACCTGATCTCAGGGTTTCCGCAGTCCCTGACCCTGCTTTCCTTGTTAATTCCACAAGAAGATATTATAGAGACAGCACCAACCCTGAAGGGCTATTGAAAAGAAGCCACATGATTGGGAACTTGAAGATAGTTTAAGAACTGTCTAGTATGTCTCTACAATGAAGGCAACTTATTACTCATCACCTTCAAAGCCAGCCTCACAGGAATTATTCATTTCTTGTTCCTTTTTAAATGATTTTTAACTTTTGGGCTATTCATTTTCAGTTACCCAAATTTTCTATGAGAGAAAATGAGGGGCTGGTGGCTCAGCAGTAGAGTACTTGCATAGCATATGTGAGGCCTTAGTCAGTCCCCAGTACTTAAAAAAAAAAAAAATTTCTTCATCAGCTAGGCATTTTATCACATGGCTATAATCCTAGCAAGTGGGTATGCTGAGGCAGGTGGATCATAAGTTCAAGGCTAGCCTCAGCAATTTAGTGAGATCAAAAATAAAATAATATAAAAAGGGATGAGAGTGTGGCTCAAGTAGTAAAGCACTCCAAGTACAATACCCAGTATCAAAAAAAGGAGAAAATTAATATTGAGGAGATAAGCAGCAGCAAACAGGTATCTAAACAAGGTCATAGTTAAGAAGTTAAGAAATAAATATTTTCACCTGTGAGTACCAAAGAAAAACTTCATTGTTCCATCAAACTACCTGCTACTTAAACAATAAAAATAAATTACAAGCAGAATCAATGAATCCTTTGGCTAAGGACTTCTCTTATACAAGAACACCTGAGTCACTGCTCCCATGGACAGACACTTCATAGACCTGCCAGGAAGTTACTCAGCCACCACTACTAGGAGAGACTGCAACACAAGCCAAATTCCATGAGAGTTAAGGACATTGATTTTATCACCTATGTACTGGCAAGGATTTAGAAACTCAGGGATAGATGAAATCCAAGCATAAACATTTTATTTTTTGTCAGCATTATCATCTAAATCAAATGTTAGCCTAGACATAATCTACAAGGATGTGTGTATTCCAGAAAATATGACAAATACCCAAAGTGAGTTCCATCACAAAATACGTATTTGTTCTTGGTAAAAGTAAATTACAAAATCTGAGAGTAAAGAATAACAAAATTATAAATTAAATAACAACTGACTAAACAATAGCAAAAAAGTAAAAATAATAAAGTAGATGTAAATTGAGTGATATATATGTTAATAGAGCAAGAAAAAAGTTACAGAATCCAATAAGAATTCATGAAAAAAAAGATAACAGAACCAAAGATATTATTTCAGAAATGTTTCAGAATGGACACAAAAACTATCTGATGAAAAAGTTGTACAAATCTAACAGATTCAAGACAACTATCTTGCAACCTCAATCTTTACTTAGTTGGTACAAGTTATAGGATTTTATTAATACGGGGAATAGCAATGAAATGACCATTTTACTACTGCTCCAGATGCACTATTCTTCACTCTACGTAAACATATTGGAAAGACTAACAAGCATATTGTTTACTGCTATCAGTCTGGTGGAAATTTATTTGGACATGATTTCTTGGGAATTTAAATGATTTTAAAAATAAAAACACATTTTGGAATGGAGAGGTCTATTTGACTTTATTTAAGATGCCAATACATTGTCAATCAATACCTGATTAGTTAGAGGTAGAAAGACATTTTAATTGTCTTCAGGAACACAAAGTTTCTTTGTGTTTGCTTGAACAAGTATACTTTGCAATCTGCCATAGTGGAATCAAACTGGACTTCTTGATTCTTGATTCCCCACTGCAAATTAGTTAACCATTCATTCAATCTATACATTCACCACTATATTCTGCTTCAGGATGGTTATTTTGTTTTACATTTTATATAAAATAAAAATATGATTGCAATTTATTGATATATGTATACATATACATATATATTGCAGAAATGCACCTTAACCAGCAAAATTCTGCTAAACAATCATAGAAAATTTCAATAGAATGTGTTTTTCAATATGATAGCTTTTTAATGGCAATGAAAATAACAACTTATGGATTTAAATGTCTATGTTTAACCTGATAGGAAAAATATAACAAACATAAATCCTGAACAGGGAAAATGAGGTGCATGCTGGTGCTTCTCAGTGCTTTAATACTTCATGTTTAAAAAGTAAACATAGTACCAATCATCATTTTGATTCCAGTCAATAAAAACTTAAAACTACATTAATCAATTTTGAAGTCTGAAACCAAAATGATCCCTTAACAGTATTGCCAAATGGCAAGTCTACTCTAAAAAGTTATTCACAATGAAAAATTTTGACCCAATTAAAGTGACTCTCTGTTACCACAGTACTAGAATCTACCTTTTTGTTGGGTTTCAATTTGTTATAACAACAAAAGACAAGATGACATAAAAACAGAACTAATACAAGCCTTAATAAAATTTAATATTGGGGATTATGCATTTTTTAACCTTTGGATTAAAATCCCTTTTGTAACACAAATTCTACTGCATGATTTACCATGGACTAAAAACTTTTTAGTAACAAAATTACATTCCAAAAATAGCATCACTCCTAGATTTTACATTCCCTGTAGACATCACAATCACTTTAAGCCTTTTATTATCTTAGAAAAGTAAAACTTTTCCCTGAAAAACTGTAAATAGCGATCATATGTTCATCATCAGTTGTCTGAACAACTTTCTTCAAGAGAAAGTGACTACATTTTGTCACTTCTTTATTCTAGAGTAAAAAGGATGACAGTGGTTTCTGAAAATGAAGTTGAGGAACATGAATTAAATTAGTGATGAAAAACTTTTAAACAACTGCTGGAATTTTATGTTGTTTTAGTTGTAAAACATCTATTATTTAAGTGAAACAGTTGACAGGGTAAAACACTGCTAAACTTCGCAAAACTTCTTTTGTTCCATAGGATTTTGATCCTTTCTAAAACAATGGCGTACAAACTGAGTTATAAACAATTCAGCCTCTATAAATGACAACAAACACAATATATCTATAGGAGGTTTAAAAGATTTGTTTTTAAATATTTGTTTTTAAATATTCAAGTGTAATGCTATTGTAAAAGATTAAAACACATGTGTAAATTTTCATTTGTTCCTAACCTGCCATTAGTATGTAGGTTTACTGGGCTGCTAAACAGCCCTACTGGTCATGGAGAGAGATGGTGTTACTAGTTGAAAAAAGAGCATGGATACCACGACATTTACCCCAATGGTATAAAACCCATCTTTGCATCCCTGAAGTAAGAATGGCCACTTTTCTCCAATTACATTGCTCTATACTAAAGCAGCATTGTATATGGAGAATTCCTTCAAATCTATAACATTCTACTACTACAAATACCAATTCAAAACTTAAAAATAATCACAGACCAAATCCACATACCCGTGATCCTTTGTAAATCCTAAAATGAGAAATATTCTTAGTTTAAACCAAGAATTATATTGGAATGAACTAAAGACCCTTTTAAGTAATTTTAAGTGTACTCTTGTTATTACATTTCTATATAGATAATTCAATATCATTCGTGGACATAATTTAATCAATAATATATCACAATGTCAACCACTACAGAGATCCAGAATCAGATTCTGGCTACAGAGGAAGCTTAATTATTAAGCAACACCTTCCTAAAAAGCTTCTGTATTTCTGATTGGTAAGAAAAACAAAACAAAACAAAAAAGCATCTCTCATTGAAATAACACTGAAGTTTGAGCTGGGCCCCCTTCTTTGTATTCAACATAATTAACTCTTCAGGATATAATGATGAAATATAGTCACATTAATAAATTATAGCCATCTTCATGAAAACTCTATCGGCAACTCCGGTTTTACAACTGTATATCTTGGATCCAATCTGGGGACGAAACCCTGAAAGTGTTTAGATGCACCAGTACCAAAAACATCCAGGGCTTTTCGATTCATGACAGCAAATCTGTAAAAAAGAAGAAATAATGAAGAAGTAGTTAAGGAAGTTTATAAAATAAAATTATTTCCTTTATTTGACTTAGTTTTCATGGAATGGGAAAACAGAAAGGACTAACCAAGATTCACTGTCTAATATTTAAAGAGATAATCCTCCAATCTGAAACCATTCATGTTACGTTATTTCAAACCCTTCTCGACTTCTTTCCACTTAAGTATGTCAAATAGAAAATTAGGTTCATTTTTCTGATGAATGAAATCAGAGGAAATTAAGAAAACAATGAATGAGCTAACATTTACCAATGAGACAAAAGTGCTAGATATACTTTCTCTCATAATTGAGAACATAATGTCCTATAAAAATACATCCAAAAATGAAAATATTAAATGACTAAAAAGCAAATAGCATCAGGCCTTCCAATTTCTAACAGATATAAAAGAATAAAATATACCTTCGTGTTATACATCACCTAACTTAAGAAATGCTTTTAAAAGACATATTTAACTAATGCACAGGATGGACTTTTTGTGTCTCAGTGTCTTTTCACAAGGTTTTCCTGTCTGAAGGAGATAGCAAAATGAAGTTAATTTTGAATCACTGGCCAGCATCAATATTTCAAGAGCCATTAAATGTGACTTTTACTTCTTTTCCAAAGTAAAGTAAGTTCCCTTCCAAAATAATTACTAGGTAAAATCCATTAATTTTCAAAAAAATATGCACCAAAAAATGTGATGAAACAATAATAGTATGAAAGATACATAATGTCATGGTTGAGAAGAGTTCTGAAGCCAGAATGTCTGGCTTATCCCCCAGCTTTTTTGCTTAGTAGCTGTGTCACTCTATCTAACATTTCTGATTCTCAGTTTTCTCAAATATAAAACTAGGGAGATGATAGCACTTATATCATTAAATTATTTTAAGGAATAAGTTTATGTATGTGTTATATGTGTATATCTTGAAACTATATCTGGGACATGGTATGTACTATGTTAGCATTTGTTATATTAATCTTAATGATAGTAAAATTAATAGCAGCTATGATTTAGTGAGTGCCGAGGAAGTGCTAAGCACTACTATGAATATTTTAATTTTCCCACAACCATACAATGCATAGGGTATGCTTTGGATATGGTTTGCCCCCTAATGGTTAGTGTGCTAGAAACTTAGTCTAAGTGTGGTGATGTTGAGGCAGTAGTAGAACCTTTAAGAGGTGTGGCCTAGTGAAGTATAATTAAGAGATGGGAACTCTACTCTCATGAATGGTTTAATGCTAGCCTTAATGAATGGACTGGGTCCTGTAGGAGTGAATTAGTTTCCCCAAGAATAAGTTGTTATAAAGTATGGCCAAATTACATACTTTTCATGTCACCAGTTCCCTTTCTGCTTCTCCACCACATTGTGATATAGCCTGATGGCCCTTACCAAAATGCCAGCACCATGCTATTTGTACCTGTCAGCTACTAAAATCATGAGCCAAACAAACCTCTTTTCTACATATGTAATCCAGCACCAGGTATGGTTATAGCTACATAAAACAGATTAAGACAGTATGTATAATTGCTTCAGTACAAAGAGAAAGAACATTAGGTTCGTGAGGGCAAATAAATTTCCCACAGAAAAATGGTTAAAGGTACCAAAGCTGGAGTCACACTCAGGTCTCCAGAATTCCAAAGCTCATACTCTTCCTATTAGGTCCAGCTTTCTCCCAAAGAATCAAATTTAGATTAGAGGAAGAACAAGGACTAGAAGGAGGAAGAGGAAAAGAAGGAGAAAAAAGGAAAGTAAACTTAAAATATCGGGCAATAGAAGATGGTTACTGAAACCAATTAATTATGTAGAGATGAACCCTTTTAATGAATCTGTTTAATATTTTTAATCAAAAAGAAGACATCATTATAGATTGGAAAAGGTAGGCTAAAGTATTTATGGAGCTACTAATTATCAGTCAGCAAAGCAACAGGATATTAATCCAGAACTTTTAAAATGTCTAAAATATTATAAGGAAAGAATAGTCAGAATAATGATCATTCAATATTTCTTATTAATTTGGTCATATTTGATTTATATATAAATACCAACTTCACCACTGAAAGAATATTCCTTGAAGGAGACAAGAGATTGATAATCTTTTTATAGATGTTTTTTTCTCCTTACCTGCCCTTGGTGAGCCTTAAAAGGAACTTCCAGTAAGATGGTCGCAAGGTCTGAACTTCCATGACAGCCTAAGATTATTCAATTTGAGATTTTTTTTTAAAGTAAATACAAACATCTGAAGTCTTGAGCAATACTTTTTATCTCTTTATTGCTTGTTGTATTTTTTAAATGATAGTGATAAAAATAATAATAACATATTTAAGTCAATATCTTTGAAGAATATTTATTAATATGCCTTCAAATAGAAATGCTGCTTTGGGAATAATAATTGAGTAATTTATTATTATCAGGAAGCATTTACTGAGTACCCATTAGATAGCTATCTAGCTGACACTTCACTGATTTTAATGAGTTTATTAATATAGCAGCATTCCTATAATAAAGAACAAATAAAAGCTCTCCCTAAAATTTTACAACAGCCCTTTAAACCATTAACATCCATAATAATAATAACAGACTTAAAAAGATGAAATAATGCTTCTGCTAAACTAGTTCTTTCCCCCTCCCCATTCTCTGAGTAATGCTGGGGAAGTGCAATAATTCACATTTTACCCGTGGTATTTTTTTTCTTTAGGAAGGATAATTAAATTGGGGGCATTCTAACCTTGGTTCTGGAATAAGGATTTACCTATAGATTGCAAACTATTTAAACCTAAAAATTGATCTGTTCATAAAACGGTGTCTGGCCCATTAAGTTAACGTTTAATGATTTGAAACATACAAACTATCTTGCTAAAAAAACAAAAAGTATAAAATGTAATGTTATGTTCTCAGGCTTTTATTTTTCCCCCTCTGGCTTAATGTAAATTAGAAACAGAAATTTCTATTTCTCATTTCAAAAGCTATACTTACTGCCTGGAAACAAATTGCTGTAGAGATGGAATAGATAATAGTATCTGCATGAGGAAAATAGGGAACCTTCCCTGCTTCAATGCCTTTGAAATACATTGTCTGCAAAATAAGCATAATGCAAGAGTTATATTAAAAAAGCATTAACAATATAGTTGAATGATATACGCCCTCTACTTACAGCTGTTTTCTATTTATCTGAATCCTAACTCTTTCAGAGCTCAAATCATGGTATATCTTCTGTGACAACAATAAGTGTCAGCCCTTCCCTTCTTTCATTCCTCACTCTAAACTCTAGCTTCAAGCAGCAATAATTTTCTGCAAAATTCAATAGCACTTTATTGCTACTACTTTTATGTCACTTATTCTTCAATGCTTTTTATAAATAAGTCCTCCCTTCTTCATTAGATCTGTTCCTTCCTTCCTTTGTTCAGGCAGTAAACATTAATGGTGTCAACTGTATGCTGAACAAAATGCTAGAAACAAGGGATTTAGAAATGGACAAAACATAATGCATAAAATATCATTAATTCACTATGATGAGAGCTAGAAAAGAGTTATATATTACATATTATTTGGCTCCTCAAAGTAGGGAGCAACCACTCCTTCTGGGATAGAGGACCAAGAAGACTTATTAGAAAGACAAAATTTAAGTAATGTTCCCCTAACCATTTGCAGTGAATTTATAATTGCTATGGATTAATGACATTTATGATATAATAAAATGACTTAATAGAAAAAATAAATTTTAGAACTACAGAATTGAACCATAATTGCACTCTGAGATTCAAAGACAAGATTACTCTGTCAAATAGCTGTAAAAGTTCCCCAGTGTTGCCAAGCATGATGGTACATGCCTGTAATCCTTGACACTCAGGAGGCTGAGGCAGGAGGATCACAAGTTGGAGGCTAGCCTG